AGTCAGTCTATTGATCCACATTGCAATCACTCGTCTAATATCTTCACATAGTTAGATTTCCTGCCAATATATCAAGTTCTCTCACTCCCTGTTTACACGCTTAAGATGAGATGGAAGCAGTGAATATAAACTTACAGTACAACACCTTTCTTGGATTATGCGTAGTTAAATCAGTATATTGTGTACCATTCTGTACATACACATTCCTTGTATACCACCATTGTCTAAATACATAGTATATATACCTACACTATTTATGTATACGATGAACCAATGTATACTTGCATGAAGAATTGACTGAATAACAATCAATATATCTATCTGTAAAGTTCTCTAGGTGACTTGACCTTCGAGAAACGACTGGACAAGTACTGGGTAGATCAAAATGTACTAATCACTGTCCTTTGTGTATCAAGAAGTACTGTCTCATGCAGCTGATGTTTGAGGGTTACGTCCTTTATACCTCGTCGACAGATAAAACAGTTACCGACCGTGACAGGACTCGAACCTGCAATCTTCGGATCCGAAGTCCGACGCCTTATCCATTAGGCCACACGGTCTATAGAAAGTACAGATTATATAATTTAATTTGTATAATTTATATGTACAGTATTCCTTATATTAATTATAATCTGTATTGTGTAAGTATATTACAATACAGTATTTTAATTGTATATCGGTGCACTTGACCATCATACACACACATGTATACTCTATAGTGGATACCTTGTAGTCACTAGCGTAGCTAGGGGCGGGGGGCGGTCCGCCCCTGGCGGCACTTTTGCCTGCTCATCACCCATATCTGCAGCTACTGGAGACGTTAATCCATCCCTTTTGTATCGGCGGTTAATCCTTGTCGTGTCTGACCTAACACCTGACCCACATCATCACGGCCACGTGAGCTACACCCTTGCTATGCCACACAACCTGTAACCTGTTGGAGGATTAAGGAAACAACTTCAAACAAGTACGCCAGTGAGCCCATGTGGTGGGTCAGGTGTTAGGTCAGACACGACGAGGATTAATCTCTTAACGCTGATACAAAGGGAAGGATTAACGTCCAGTAGCTGTAAACCATGCAGTCTCTCGGGTCATATCAGTTCATGTACAGCCGACCAATCCACCAGTTACAAGCAATTCACTAGTTCTGCACAAGTCTCCATCGACAAGACGAGGGAGGCTAGACGACTTTTAAGTTCTCTTTGTGTTTTCGATCCAGTTATTTACTTCTGTTGGAAGACATAATACTATAAGGTAAGAAATATTAAAGTATTGGTTAAAAATATTATGGACTTTGCTGCGGTACTGAGATTAAATATTAAGATTTTGTTTCACAGCATTGAGATTCTTATACCAAGACACTATCCTCACGGGTACAGACAAAGCCCCGATTAAAGTTAATTATATCAAAAAGCCCCTCACTTTTGATCGGGGTGGCTTTTGTCTGGCAACAGTAAGGGCTTTCAAAAGTTACGGACATAATTAAACAGGTTGAGGGTAAAATATACTGTTCTTTCTCTGTGGTTAATTATTGTTAGGTTAGGGTTAGGTTAAGTTAGGGCTGTTGGTTGAAGAAGGCTAGACAAAAGTTTCACCCCTGACTGCAAAAGTAGGGGCTTTGTCTGGGTGGCTGTCATACATCCATTTTCACTGTACCTGTACTCTGAGTCTGTAATTTTAGATTAAGTTACTTACATTTCCATTGCATTACATTGATACTAGTGTCATTATACCTCTATTTTAGATCATACTAATAAAAAGATAACGGTGCATGCCAATTGTTTTATGTAACGGATTCCTAACCTAACTCTAAAATAATATATATATATATATATATATATATATATATATATATATATATATATATATATATATATATATATATATATATATATATATATGCATGCAGAAACTT